TGCCCTTCCTTTTCACTGTTTGATAATCAAATAGATGTACCTCAGATTAAGACAATCTTGTATCACTAAAACCTTAGTAGGAATTAATTGGTCAATCAGTCAGTAAGTATTTACCTACTATGTGACAGGCACCTAGAGGTGCTGGGGCTCCAGAAAAAAAATGAAACAATCCCTCTCCTGAAGAAGCTTACATTCTATTGGGGAGACATGCATATACAAAAGTATAGATAAAGTAAATACAAGGCAATTTTTCTTTTTGTGGGGGAGACACTACCAGCTGCGGGGATGTAGACAGGCCTCATGTAGAAAGAGTGCTTGAGCTGAGCTTTAAAGAAAACTAGCAATCTGAGCCTATGGTCTTTCGTTGTTCAGTCATGTCCAACTCTTCACGACCCCATTTGGGGTTTTCTTGGCAAAGACACTGCAGCAGTTTACCATTTCTTTCTCCAGCCCATTTTACAGAAGAGAAACTGAGACAGAGTTACGGGGCTTGTCCAGAGTCAGACAGCGAGTAAGTGCCTGAGGCCGGATTTGAACTCAGGAAGATGAGTCTTGATTCCAAGCCCACTGCTCTATCCACTTGCACTACGTAGCCGCCCCTGGTCTTGAAGCCACAGTAAAGCCTTAGGACACTTGTGATGTGAAAATAAATGAGTGATGTGAAGAGAGAAGGCCAGTTTGGCTCGATCACAGAGGGGAGGAGGTATAATGTCTGATGAGGCTGGATTGTGTAGCACCTTATAAACTTAACAGAGAAATGTGTATTATCCTATAAGCAAGAGAAAGTAAACTGTAGATGATTGAGTCAGAGAATATTGTGGTCAGATCTGTGCTTAAAGAAAATTACTTTGGCAGGAGTATGTAGGATGGATTAAATTGAGGCTGGAAGCCCAAACAGGCGGCCGCTGCAATAGTGGAGGTGAGAGATGATGAGGGCCTGAACTAAGAGATGAAAAGAACTTCCATTTAAACCTGGTATGGATCTTAGAGGTGACTTGGGCTAACCCTTGTCTCAGTTTTTTCATCTGTAAAATGGGGATAATAATACTATCATCAGATAGGATCCCAGGAACAAGTGAGATGATGTAAAAGTGCTTTACAAATCTTAAAAAACTAAATGAATGCTAGTTATTATTATTTTGTTGTTGTTGCTGTTCAGTCATTTCATTTCTGTCCAACTCTTTGTGGCCCCATTTGGGGTTTTCTTGGCAAAGATACTAGAGTGGTTTGCCATTTCCTTCTCTAGCTCATTTTTACAGATGAGGAAACTGAGGCAAACAGGGTGAAGTGACTTGCCCAGGGTCACACAGCTAGGAAGTATTTGAGGCCAGATTTGAACTCAGAAAAGTGAGTCTTCCTGACTCCAGGTCTGGCACTCTATCCACTGGGCAACCTAGCTTATTACTGTTACAATAATACAAAACTGAGTTTTGGAGAAATTAAGTGAATTGCCTAAGGTTAAGGTTCTCTTCATCTCTGAGAGTACACTGAGGGAATTCAGACGATGTTACTTATTGTCCACTACAGGATGGGTTTAATTCCTGCATCCAGGCTTGATGGCACAACTAAAAGCCACCAAGGAATCCCCGGGCACCCATTTTCAGCCACAGTCTTTTTCTGTGCCACCCTCTCCCCACAACCCCCATCACTATGTCCCTCAATTTAAAGTCACAAGCTCTGGGTTTGACGTCCAGCTCTGCCACCACCAAGGTGTGTGGTCATAAGAAAGCCATTGCATTTTTTTGACTTCCGTTTCCTCCTTTGCAAAATGAGGCAAGAAAGGGGGCCAACAAAACGTTCTTTAATGTCCCTTCTCACTCCAACATTCTGTAATTCTGCCAGGAAAGAATGCAAGAGCTGCCCAGTAGTGCCAACCTCTGTAACCCACCCCCTCTCATCCACAGGGGCTCCTCACATGTGGGATTGTCTTCTAGCTTTGGTTGTTTCTATTGCTTGCAGGCCCTAAAATGAATAACTTCAGACTGAATTGAATTTAAAACCCCCCTTTTCAGCACTGAAGATGGTCATCCAAACTACTACTTACTCCCTCTTCTTTTTTTTTTTAAATGTGTTGGAGCTAGCACTAAAATCGAATGTTGTTTCTTTTTAATTGAATACATCTGGAAATCAGTGGGGGAACCCCTTTCAAAGCTCTTTGGAAATAAACTTCCTTAAACCCCATAATTAATAAAGGAATTCATAAAGAGCTTCTACCCATTGACTTTTATATGGTGTCTTTGTTGTAGCAGACATTCTTACTAAAGCAGCATGACTGAACTATTATTTGTCTAATTGTTTCCTCCTAATAGGGATAAATGATTTTTCAACACCAGTCCCTATTAGATGAAGAAAATAAAATGGAGCAGAAAATAATTGGGCCTATTTCACTTAGACCTGGGAGGAAAATACATTTTACCAGAGACATCATGGCCAATGGGACCAAGACTTTTGGCCAAAGAACTTTTGGTTCTGTCTTCTTCATTATAGATGATGCACTGTTATGTTCTCCCTTCTTGGGGTGGGGAATCATTCTATCTGGCATTTAATAGCTCAAAACCGCACAAAAACTTTTGGGACACCCTGTATAGTGTTTTAAAAGTTTGCGGGCTGCTTTACATACAGTATCTCACATAATCCTTGCAATGACCCTGAGTACTCTAGGTATTATTATCTTCATTTTACAGAGAAGGAAGTTGAGGCTGAGAGAGGTTAATGACTTGCCCAGGATCACATAGGTGGTAAATTATTGAAGGTGGTGTTTGAATACCCATCTTCCTGGCTCCAAGTCCAGTTCTATCCATATCTACAAAATACAGAAACAAAGAACTGGACGGTTTTTTTGTACTTGAGTAATGTCTTTGTGTCTAGAGCCTGACCCCCAATCTCCCATTTAAAGAACATTTGCGTAACATATTGTCCAGAATTACAAGATCCAAACTCAGGAAGGTTTGAAGAAGGTTGGCCACCACTTAAAGAGCATAGAGATGGAACAGGGACATGCTCCTGAAAGAACTGTATGATTGTCTGCCTCAGGAGATGCTCCTTTCTGTAGGTACATGTCACTGGCATTTAAGGAGTTCAAATCTTCCCATGTCAGAATCTCAACTGGGCCCTCGCAACAACAGGGCAATCCTTTTACTCCTCCCTAACTGATTTGCTATCCTATTCCCCATAGAGGTTGTTTAAAATCTTCTCTCTTTAAATCTCTGATACTATTCATTTTTTCTGCCTTCTCAGGTGAGTAACTAGAAACATATTTTACTGAGAGAGATAGCACTGTGGATAGAGTGCTGGGTCTGAAGTCAAGAAGACTCATCTTCCTGAGTTCAAATCTGGCCTCAGACACTTATGAGCTGTGTGACCCTGGGCTCTGTTTGCCTCAGTTCCCTCATCCGTAAAAATGAGCTGGAGAAGAAAATGGCTCTAGTATCTTTGCCAAGAAAACCTCAAATAGGGCCACAAAGAGTTGGACATGACTGAAATGATTGAACATCTTCCATGAATATTCTGTGAATATCTTCCTATGATCTCCCACCTTCATTCTAATTTCTGAGAAAAAAGGAAGGTAGGAAATAAGCATTAATTAAGTGCCGGATATGTGCCAAGCATGGTATCAAGCACTTTACAAATATCTCATTTGGTCCTTACAATAGTCTGGTGAGGTAGGTGCTATGATTCTCACTTTTACTGCTCAAGAAACTGAAGCAGTGACCTGTCCATAGCTAGTGTCCGAGACTGTATTTGAACTCAGGTCATCCTGATTGCATGCACAGCACTCTATCCACCGTACCACTTAGCTGTCTCTTGGCAAGGAGACTTATCTCCTTCCCCAAGGCCAACCCTTCTCTATATACTCCTGATCCCTTTCCCTCACGTCTTCTCTCAGGAGACTGCCCTCAAAACCATGTCCTTTCTAATCCTCAGTCTCTTCCTTCCTACTGACCCCTTTCCAACGACCTACAAACATACCCAAGTCCCTATACTTAAAAAAAAGCATAGAGATTCACTAGACACTGCTATCTTCTTACATGATTGTCCATATCTATCCTCCATTCACAGCCAAATGCCCAGAGGAAGCCAATTATCCTCTTTGCCTCTACTGCTCCTCTCAATAACCAGTGCCATCTCTGTTCTACTTCTCTCTCCAAGAGGAATGACATGGAAACAAAACCCTTTCCCTTATTTCCTAAGGATCTCCACAAGCCTCATTAAGATGTCCAACTATTTTGGGACACTTCCTTAATAAACAGAAATCAATGAGTGGTTACATGTGCTGGGGTGACAGTGGAAGAGGGAGAATATCACTTCCCTATTTTAAGGGTAACTGCAGCTGGCATGATGTCTGTTGGTCTACATGAGAATGGAAACGTGGCATCGCTGCTGCCTCCTCTGCATCCCTGGCTCTCTCCAGAAAGGCCCCGAGGCTCCCTGAGACTTTGTGTTTGATGTCTCTCAACCTTCTTTTCCAGTTTTCCTGGATCTGCTCACTTACAAAGCATGGAAACCAGGCTGTAATATATGTTATTCTCCAATTGATTTGGTAAATCACGCATGTTGCCTCTCAAAATGGGTGAGTTTAAACAGCTCTGGCTGTTCAACAGAGTTAAATAGCTCTGGCCAGGATTCAAAGGCAGAAATGCTGAAAAGAAAGAGGGAGGAAAGAAAAGAAAGTGATTTCCATATGGAGTGCACCTGGGGAGGCCAAGAGAGAGTTTGGGGGCAGGGCTGTGACCCCTCCTCCACCTCTGTAAATATTCCTACCAAGTATCTTTTCTTAATGCATTCCACCTGCTAACAAAGGACTTCTTGGTTCTTCACACCCCACTTTTAAAATGTCTGTATGTTAAAAAAATTTAAGGGGCATTAACCCAATTTACAAAGAAACTGCTCATGGTTACCATTCATGAGACAAGTTTAAAAACATACCACCGTGGAATTTCCAACCCCTCCTTTCCGTGGTATGCTACATAGTAGGCTTTACACGTATACTCAATAGCAAGTTTATTCATCTTTCACAGTGGATATGAAGGGAGGGAACTTTTCACTACAGTTTACACAAAACAGATCAAAGTATAAAACTGATACATTCAACAAGGCTCAGATCTGAAAGATCAAGGGCAAATTTTCTGGTCTACATGTTGCTATCCTCATTTTACTCTGAGAGAAACTGAGGCTGAAATAGAATATTTCTTCCCCTCTACTAGACAAGAATGTTGGCAACACAAAATGTTTCATACACTAAAAGGCACAGATAATGCAAACATACCAGTGACTGAATTTGTGAAATCAATCCACAAAGTCTCAACGTTGCTTTAACTTTTTGACTTTACCAACCCTTAAAGTGAAATGTGCTATGAAGTCCTGGTTTGTAATAGAAATTAGCAGATGTTTCTAGATGACACATAAAGCTTGTAGAAACTATCCCAGAAGGGTGGCCAGCACTGCTGGCCTTCTCTCCCAGACCATAGATGACGACAGAGGCATTTACTACATTAAAAAATGAACAAGGATGGCCTAGAGTTTGTAGCTTAAGGCCCAAAGAAATAAAGCAAATTTTAAAATAAACAACACAGAAACAGGTTCAATGATTCAATAAATAGCCTCTCCTGCTTACTGAAAAGGTTCTCGTATTTCCAACTGACTCACTGGGAGTGAATCCATGAAAAAGCAAAACAAAACAAAACGAGTTTTCTTGCATTAGGACCAGCTTCCAAGCAGACAAGCTATTCTGATTTGGGAGGACAGTTGCTTATATCTTGGAAGAAAAATATTTAATCATCACTAACTTTCGCCTGTACTAAAAAACTCAGATGTAGAAGAGTTGCAGAAGTCTTTTGTAATGGGTTTATACAAATAGACTTTTCTATTTCATGAAAAATATATTGTGACTAAGCTCTATCTTCCTTTTCGGGGACACTGAACCTCTTAGAAAAGACACACAAAAATAAATAACATTAAAAACTAGCTAACGGGGCTACCACGGATCTTTCTGCAGATGGTGGGAAGCCAAACCACTTTGCACATTTTCATGCCTCCCTAGACCCAGTACTGATTGCGCCTAAGTGTTGGGTTGGTCTTCCGGCAATGCTGGACCATTTCTGGATCCAGACTCTTCCAGGCATCGCAGAGAGAGACTTTCTCCACCGGTTTAGCCACTGGGGCAAGCAACGGTTGACATCTTGGGGCCAGGTAAGGGCTGACTGCTGGGCTGCTGGAGCTTCTTTTAAGGGGTGTCACTGTGACAGAGGGGATGGTCACACTCCTTTCTGGACTTAGGTTTGGAGTCCTGGGCTCTGGGCTGCCTGGAGGATCAATGAAGGGTTTAGCTTTTTTTACCTTGCGGCACATCAGGCAGATACAAAGTGACATCACGGTCACCATCAACAAAAAGGTGGCGACGGCAAGTGGTATGATGACCACGAGGGGATTGCTGCTCTCTCTGGGCTGTGTTCTGGTTGTCCTTGAGCTCACTTCAGTGGTGGCCTTTGGCCAGGAAAACTGGGTGATAGGAGTCTCTGCATCTGCCACCAGATCTCTCCCTTTCCAACTTCCCTGGAGATTAGAACCCAGTCTTCTTGTCTGTGTTGTCTTCCTTGGGCCTTCAGTCTGTGCCGTGGGTCCCATGGAAATCATAGCCTTTTCTTGGGAAACTGTAGATGTCATCAGACCATCTGATGACAATGGCACCTCTAGTGTAAAATTTTGTATAAACAAGGAATCAGGCAGCACAATAGTATACGGAAAGTAGCCTATAGCGGGCTGCACATGGTCTGCCTTGAGTGTGAAGGTGAAGGAATCATTAAGCGTATCCACACCAGTCATGTTAGCATGTGTATCAAGCATCAACATACCTTGATCAATGTCCATTTGAGTAAACAGATCAATTCCTTCTGGTTCGGCATGGCGACTGACTCTTCTTACAAGTCTTCCATGGACAGGTGGCTTTGTGACTTCAAATCTGGGAATACTCTTTGTCAAATTAGCAAGTTTAGTAGCATCCAGGTCCTTTCGCCTCAACGGATAAGTCACCCTGTTGGGGATTTTCAGGCTGGAAGTGACTTGCAGCAAAGGCTGCACTCGGATGTGGAGGGCCTGGTCTGTCAGGTTGTTCTCCGTGGTAAACAACGTGAACTTTAACTTGTCCTGGCAGGCAGTGAGATCTGTCATGTGGTAAGAGAGTCTTCCAGAAAATAAATCTTCCTGTTTGAAGTTCGTGACTCGTTCATTTCCAATGAGCAGGTGCCCATGCTGGAGGGGCTGGATTAGTTTGTAAGCAATCTCGGTACTTTTTCCATTGGTCATTGCTGACAGATGTACATTAGTGATAGAGACTGAGGTCTGGCCTTGCGGAAGGAGCAGGTCAGTCAGATTCACAAGGGTTACAGAGACAGGTATAACCTCCAGGTGGAAGACTTTGTACAGCGGACGATGTGTGCCATCTGTCACACTGAAGTAAAATACCCCAGACGTTGGGCTTCCATCTTGTACAAACCACAGCTGGCCACTGTCAATGTCAGCCTGGGTAAACTGGTGAATGGGGACGTCTAGATGAGGAGCTCTTGCTAGAAAGCCATTGGTGGGACTGCTGATGATTGTGTATTCGATCTCTGCTGGGGAACTGTCCAAGTCCTCCACCTTCAGATTGTCAGGTCCCATCCTGAACACATTGCCCTGAAGCACTTTCAGAGAAGGTCCTTTTGTCTTCAGCTTTGGTGGCTGGTCATTCACAGGAGAGATGGTGATATTAAAGACCTCTTCAAGAAAGTCAGCCTCCGGTTTTGTGGCAGACCTGCTCTTCTGGTTCAACCAAACCGAGAAGGTAAAATTATCAGCTAGGGATTCGGAGTCATCATGGTGATATGTGATGCCATATTTATTAATTATGTACTGCGAGAAATAGGGTTTTTCTTTGGTAACATTTCTCTCTCCAACCACAATTGTACCATGGCGGGGAAGAGATGTAACCTGGTACCAGACTTCATATGCAGCACGTTGAGGTTCAGGTAATTTAACCAGAAGATTCGAAGCATCTAACTTAGATCTATCGATTAAGACTTTCCTTCCTTCTTGGACAACAGCTCCTATAAAAAGAAAAGAACAGTATTTCATTGAAACAGATTTGTATGTGATAAATTGACTGCTTCCCCACTCAGACATGGTCTGAATACAGAATTTCTTCATTTCTTATGCATTTGAATTATCTTTGCTGTCCGGTATATTAGATACATCCAAACACTTAAAATATGCACATCAGATCATACTGTTAAATTAGCATTGCAGTTTCAAAATAGTTTTTCTGTTTTTGTTGCTGAGTTTCTTTCACTTCGGTTTCAAAAGATTTATGATTTCCTCAGTGTGCTTGTTTCCTCCATGAAGTCAATCATAACCTACTCACAACTTGTAGGCTGAGTAGAGGATCACAGATTTGGAGCTAGAAAGGACCTCAGAAATCATCTAATCCAAGCCAGGCCCTTCATTTTACAGATGAAGAAACAGAGCTCAGGTCTGCTTAAGTGACTGACTCAAGGTCACACAGTTGCTAAGTCGCAGACCCAGGATGTGAACCCAAGACCTCTGACTCCAAGGCCAGCAAACCTTCCACTATACCACGCTGCTTTTCCTTCGTGAATTGTTGTGGCTCCCACAAACAATCACCTGGGGATGAAAATCTCTAAACTAGGCTAGGTTGGTTCTTTGGCGAAAGAGACAAAGTGAGTCACTAGTTCATAACTGAAACCTTTTCAGCTTGATGGGGTCCATCAACCCTACGCTCTACAGGCAGAGGACTCAAGGTCCCTTCTGCACCACAACCAGTAGGACTTTTGTGGAGAAGTCTTAGTTTAGGGGTTTTAATTTCCTGGTCTACCTTTTACTGACCCTCCACTAAACACAGTCATAGGTGCAAATTTCCGAAACCAGTCAATCAACAAGTGTTTATTAAGAGTCTATCAAGTGCCAGACACTGAGCTGAATACTGGGCGTATAGTCCCATCCTAATGGGGATCGGGGAGACAACATATACATTAGAACTTACAAAATACATATAGAGTGAGTGAAAGGGAACCTTAGAACGGATGTCACTAGAATCCAGAGGGACCAGGAAAGGCTAGAGAGGTGGGGCATGAGGTGAGTCTTTAAAAGCAATAGGAGCTGGAGGCTGGGAGGTACAAGGGTACTGGCTAGTCTAAAAGCATGGAGACCATGTACAGCGACTAGCACATAGGCCAGTACGGCAGAGGGGGCCACAAACAACTCTTCTGTCCTTTGCCATAGGGAAGTATCACAGTTGAGCAAAAAGAGCACCAGACAGCATTGAATGACTCTGGTTCAAGTTCCAGGTCTGTGACTTTAACATCTCTGATTTTCAGTATCCTCATTTATAAAACAGAGATTAGATTATAAATAGAGACTCCACACAGGGTTGTTGTGAGGACCCAATGAAATAGTCTTTGTAAATTTTTTAAAACACATAAAAATTTTTATTTATTCTTCTTACTACTATTATTATTTTGGGAATTTTAGGTCAAGGGTATGGTAAAACAACTAAGTGATGACATGTATTATTAGATGCCTTTTAGGTATTTATGATAAAGGGTAAAAAGTTATCTAAAGCTTTTTTTTTTTCTTTTCCAACAACTTAGGTGGTGCAGTGGATAGAGCACTGGGATTAGAATCAGGAAGACTCATCTCCATGGGTCCAAATCCAGCTTCAGACACTTACTAGCTGTGTGACCCTGGGCAAGTCACTTAACTCTGTTTGCCTCAGTTCCTCATCTGTAAAATGAGTTGGAGAAGGAGATGGTAAACCACTCCAGTATCTTTGCTCAGAAAACCCCAAATAGAGTCATGGAGAGTCAGATATGACTGAAAAATGACTTAACAACAATAAACTATTACTCACTGTCTTTCAGCAATAGCAGTTACATAATTTCCTAGCTCATCGTAGTCCTAATGACTTCTTAAATTTTTTCACAATAGGAAACAGATTTGGACAAAACACATAGGTAGGGAGATGGATAGCAGTGTGCAGAAGAACGCTAACTATATGCATCAAAAATACTGAGGTCAATATCATTAGTATGATTAAAAAGCCACAGGGAAAGATTCTGAGCCCTGCTCTTTCTTCCCACTCCCAATATCGACCACAGTTGATCATAAAAACATAATAGCCTTGCATTTTAGTCAGTTTACCTGTATTTGCAAGAAGGTGACTGTGCTGACCAGGCTCAATGATATCATATGAGATTGTAATAGGAAACACCTGGGGTCCTAGAATAGCTGGAGGTGAGGAGACCATGAATGTAAAAGAATCTTCTGCATCCCAGACTTGAATTTCACTGTTTGCATGCTTATATGATATCAGACCTTCATTAACCTGTTGAAAATTCAAGAAAGATCAGCCACTGGCTTTAAACATCTGGTACAAGCAAGAAAGACAATAAAAGTGGAAGAAAGGATCTGCATGAATTTTATTTGTCTTAATCTTCCTTTGTATTGTGATTACTGCAAAATTTCCTGAGTTGGGAAGGACTTCAGGGGTTGTTTGGTCCGGCTCATATCTGAACAAGAATCCCTTCTACATCACACCTGACTCATCCTGCTTTTTCTAAAGACTGGATTTATGCTTTCAACCACTCAGTTCAATCCAACAAGCATTTATTAAACACCTACTACATGACAAGCACTGTGATATGTGCTGACGATGCAAAGACAGCAATGAAAAAAGGCCCTGACCTCAAGGAACTTACACTCTATTGGAGGACCTCACAGACAATCAATCAATCAATAAACAGTTATTAAGCACCTGCTGGGTGCCACGTCCTATGCTAAGTGCCTTTTATTGCGCTAAGGGCTAGACACAACCAAAATCATGCAAAAATGGATGTCTAATGTGTCTTGATACCAATAAATGCTGCCATTTTGTTTCTCAAAGAATATTTGATAAAGTACAATGTCTTAAAAAGCTATCCACATCATATGTCATCCAAATCTATTGTGTGGACAAGAAACCAACTGAATTGCAACAGTGGAAAGTACACTGGTTTTGGGGTCAGAGGACCTGAGTTCGAATCCAAGCTCTTTCATTAACTATCTCTATGGCCTCAAGTAAGTCATTCTACTTTTCTGAACCTCAGTTGTTTCTGAACCTCACAATAAGAAAGTTTGATCAGATGAGCTCTAACACCCTTTCTAATTCGAAATTTCTCTTATCTTAAAACTGAGTAATGTTAAGAATAAAGAGAGTTACTGTAGGTTCTGGGTCTGAATTACAATATTTTAGCCTAGTTATAACTTTAGTCTGCTAGAATTAAGAGGCCAGGATATTTTACCTCTGATCTAGCCTTTTGTGGGTAAAATCTATAAAATTAGAGAGCTGGACTAGATGCCTTTTGGGGTTCCTTCTGGCTCTAGGGCTAAAATCCAAGGCTCCAATGGAGACTGGTAGTACATACAAACAGTGAGATGGCACAGTGGATAGAGTGCCAGTCCCGGAGTCAGAAAGACTCATCTTCATGGGTTCAAATCCAGTCTCACATACTTACTAGCTATGTGACTTTGGGCAAGTCACTTAACCTGTTTGCCTCAGTTTCCTCATTGGAGAAGGAAATGGCAAACCAATTTAGTATCTTTGCCAAGAAAACCCCAACAATAAACAAAAAATTTAACTGAATCCACATATGAGTATTTGTAAAGATTTTTTACAGTGACTAACACAAAAGTTGTATGAGACAAGGTGTGGTCCAACTACAGTACATGGCTATGCAATACATTTCACTGAATTCACATCACATCCCATATGCAGACAATCCCTGTTACCCAGCAATAAGCTATTTCTCTGAAGACGCATCAGCCCTAATGACACATAATAAGGGTCTCTCTGACGTCATTCAAAGCTTTTGAGAAGGTTTTTGGTTCTGTAAGTTTCCCCAAGGGATGATCTCAGGGAGAAGCATCTGCTCTGTCCAGGACTGATAAAGAACTCCAGGAGGGTAGTTTGAGAACAAAGCATGGATTTCAAGTTGAGAGAGGAAATCTCCAATAAAAATGTCCAGGTCAATACATTTTCACCAGGAAACAAGTTTACTAGTAGTAGCTGGAATTTTTATAAAAACATCTAGGACAGTAGGTGACTGTGTAGATGAAGTATTAGGAGGGAGGGAGTCCGAAAATCTGGGCCTGTAAGAATCTCTAATGGTAACATAGTCTAATCTACCTATCTGCAAGAACAAGTTTACATAATAGTGGTTTTTATTGGTTGGGGCTTAGGGAGAGCTAGATGGCTATCCCATGGATTGCCAACAATGGTTAAATGAGATATTTGTATCTGGTACACAGTAGGCACTAATGAAAATCTTAGCCCCTCCCCACTCCAAACATAAGGAAGTCAATTCAACAAGCATTTATTAAGCACCTACTATGTGTGAGGAACTATGCTAAGCACTACAGATATAGAGAAAGATTTCTGCCCTTGAGGAACTCACAGCAAAAATGGATAGACAACATGGAAAACGATTATGTATAAAAAAGATATTCTGTATATGTTGGAATAATCAACAGAAAGAAGGCTCCAGCATTAAGAGGAATTAGGAAAGGCTTCTTGCAGAAGATAATATTTTAGTTGGCACTTGGAAGTATCCAAGAAAGTCAGGAGGGTGGCACAGTAGATAGAGCACCAGCCCTGAAGTCAGGAGGACCTGAGTTCAAATCTGGCATCAGACCAAATCCTTGACACTTACTAGTTGTGTGACCCTGGGCAAGTCACTTAACCCCAATTGTCTAAAAAAAAAAAAAGAAAGAAAGCCAGGAGGTAGAGATGAGAAGGGAGAGAATTCCAGATTTGAGAGACAAGGAGTGAGAATGCCTGGAAGGGGGAGATGAAGTATCTTGTCTGAGGAAGACCAAGGAGGCCAGTGTCACTGGAACACAGAATACAAAGGGGAGGGGAATAAGTTATAAGAAGACTGGAAAGGTAGGAAGGGGCCAAATGGAGGATTTTATATTTGCTTCTGGAGGTAATATGAAACCACTGGAGTTGACTAGGGTGGGGTGGGGTGGGGGTGGCGATGGTGGTGGTCTGCTTCTCTTTAGAAGGAAGTCCCTTAAACCTGAAAACACGGCTATCCAATTCCTGTAGGGATTGTAATTTTAGATAGTAAAGTAAGCCTGGCTTTCTCATAACAGAAGGGATACATAGTTTGCTATCAAGGGAAAGGAGTTACTTTGGATATTGGCTGGTCTTTGATACTTATGTCAATGGAGGCACAGAGCTATTATTAATGTAATATAATATAACATAACCACTCCCTGTAAAAATATATAAAGACTTTCCAACATCTACATTAGGGATTCTTGAACTTTTCTGTGTGTCATAGACACCTTTTATAATCTAAAGCCTATGGACCCCTTCTTTTAAAAAAAAAAGAAATTCAGACTGGATGGAAATACTAAAATCTCAATTAAAAGTTAGTGAAAATAAAGACATAATTTTTCCCATCCAACTTCACAGACCCACTAAAATTTATCCATGGACCCCAGGTTAAGACCCCCTGCTTTAAATAGAGTGTGGATTTACAAGGGAATTTACTACTGGATTAGAAGTTCTTTTAGAGCACAGACTATTTCTAATTCATATTTCTATCTCCCCCAGGACCTAGTGCATTGACACACACTCAGCACATTATCCATTAAAGAAAAAATGAATATGTCATATGGCAATTACAAAGGGAGCATCCATGAACCTAGAAGAATCATCACAAGGGTTAGCTGAGAGTCCCCATGGTGTACTGACTACAGTACTAGATTTAGACTTTGGAAGTTCTGGGTTTAAGTCTCATCTCCGACATTTACTGGCTGTGTGGTTCCAAATGAGCTCATTTAACTTTTCTGAGACTGGGATTGGCAAAGACGACCCAGAAAAATGACAAATGTTGCAGAGGCTGTGGGAAAATAGAAACATTTATGCCTTTAGGGTGGAGCTGTGAATTGGTACAGTCATTCTGGAAAACAGTTTGGAACTATGTTCCAAAAGTTACTTTACTGCATACATCTTTTGACCTATTGATACCACTTGTAGCTCTGGACTCTAAAGAGATCAAAGAAAGAGAAAATGAAATCATACGCAGGAAAATCTTTATAGCAGCCCTTTTTGGCAAAGAACTGGAAACTAAGCAGGTGCCTATCAGTTAAGGGAAAGGCTAAATAAATCATGATACATCATGAACATAGTGAAATACTGTAAGATATAATGAAAGGGATGGTTTCAGAGAAACCTGGAAGACCAATATGAACTGAAGAAAGTAAAACGAGCAGAATCTGGAGAACAATTTGTACGATAACAAATAATAATGTAAAGGCAAACAACTTTGATAGACTTAAGAACTCTAATCACTGCAATAATCAACCGTAATTACAGGGGACCAGTGATGAAACATACTACCTACTTCCTGAAAGACACAGTAGACTCAGGGCACAAAATCAGACATATTTTTAGATAGGGCCAATGTGGGAATTTGGTGACTACACATATGTGTTACAAGAGTTTTGATTTTCTTTTTCTACTTTTTTTCATTGGGGGCTTGGGATGGGTGGGAAGGGGGAGGGAGAGAAAAAAATTATTGTTACTTAAATAATTTTTTAAAGAATGAAAAAGGATACATTTAGAATCTCACTAGGAATTCTTATGTATCTACTGTATCATGGAATATCTGATTAACATGAAGGGTCATATAAATTTCTGACACTGATGAATTAACATTACATCAATGAAGTATCAAGGTGAATTGAACTATGATTGCTGTAAGTAGCAGAGAGTGGTAAATTTCCTAATATGTATACATGGGGTGGGGGTGGGGGGAGAGGAAGTATACTAGATGGCATTTGAAGTCTCTTCTAGGTGTATATATCTATGATCTTTTGTATGAAATATTAAAAGTCAATTGAAAAGCCAAAACATTTTAAAGAGTTCTCTAATATTAGTGACATAAATAAACAGAATAATGAAATCCATCATAAGATATCTGGAGACAGCATAGCACAGTGGATAGAATGCTGGATTTGGAAGCATGAAGACCCAAGCTCAAATTCAAAACCTTGTATACTTAATTGCTGTGTGGCTCTGGGCAAGTTAGTTAAACTCTCTGAGCCTCAGTTTCCTCATCTGTAAAATCAAGAAGTTGGACTGGATGATCTCTAAGGTTCCTTCCAGCTCTAAATCTAGGATTCCATGATCCTTCCTGCTACTGACGAGTTAGAAAAAGTCCTAATGGTTTCAAACAGCCAACCCATTTGCAGATGTCCAGCTGCTCATGCATGGCCTAGTTTCTGCATACGGCCTACAACTCACAAGCAATGAATTTTAAAGGTAAACTATATTTG